CTAAGCCATGTCCTGCAGTGCCACGCATACCCTTCTCTAGTAAACCTCCTGGGACGGCAACTCTGCCACCTCCCTCGGCAGTCTGTTCCAATGTCTGATCACTCTTTCTGAATAAATTCTTCCAAATACCCAACCTGACCCTCCCCTGGTGCAACTAAGCCCACTACTTCTCATCCCATCACAAGTCACCTTGTGACTTTCACAGATAACCTCACCTACAGAGACAACAGTTCCACAAACTGTCCAAAATGTATGACGAAAGCAGAGGCCGACTCTCCTCACTACAGCGTCTCCCCTGAGCCTCTTCTCCAGGCCGAACGATCCCAGCTCCCTCAGCTGCTCCCCATAACACTTTTGCTCCAGACCTCTCACAGCTTCACTGCTCTTCTCTGGACGCACTGCAGGTTTTTCTGGCAGTGAAGGGCCCAACAGTGAGCACAGCGCTTGAGGTGTGGCCCCACCAGAGCTGAGTACAGAGGGTCCATCACCTCCCACGCCTGCTGGCTCTGCTGTTTCTGACACAAGCCAGGATGCCATTGGCCTGCTTGGCCACCTGGGCACGCTGCTGGCTCGTGTTCAGCCAGCTGTCCGTGAGCAGTGCAGGATTGTCTGCCTCATGGAGAGGACAGGACAGCAGGGAGGCAGAAAGTGGTGGAGCTGCTCTTAGCCAGTGATGCTCCTAGATTCCACGAAGCTGTAGCCTTGACTTTTCAGCTCTTCCCTTCAGCCCTTTGTCTGGTGTAGATCATTAGACTATTAAAACTTGTTTGCTGAAGCTAACCTCTGAAGCTGTGGTATTTCTGCCACTGCCTGGAAGATTCTTACCCTTCCTGAGTAGAAATGGCAACAGAAAAACAACCACAATTTAAAAGTACTTAATCGCAGTCTGCAGCAGGAGACTTGGAGCATTTGGGTTGAGCTGCATGACAGCATTTGCATGGAAGGAGTCCTGTGGTGAGGCTTAGGGGCAGTCTGTAAAGCTGCAGCACAGATGGCCTGCTTTTGTCATACATTTTGGACAGTTTGTGGAACTATTGTCTCTGTAGGTGAGGTATCTGAAAGCACACTGGTAGTAAAATTAGATAAATTAAAGCCTCCCTTGGTTTTGTGCAGTCAGGCAGTGGCTAAGGAGTGTTCACAGGATTGTGAATGAACAGCCTAGGAGCTTCTTAAACCCCTTTGTCACAAGCGTGTCCCGTTGGTTGCATCCCTGATGTGTCTGATCATCTCTCTGCAGATCCTGCTCATCTCGGATTACTTCTATGCCTTCCTCCGGCGGGAGTACTACCTCACTCATGGACTCCATCTGACAAGGCAGGATGGGACAGAGGCCATGCTTGTTTTGAAGTAAGGGTTGAATCCACTGTTTCTTGGGCCATGGACTACTTTAAGGAACGTGTGAAGCTGGTGTATATGGGGTGGGTGGGGAAGGTTCCCTGGATGAGGTCTGGCTTTGGGAATGATACCTGCCGAAAGAATGGGCTGCGGTTCTTCTGGGAGCACCCTCTGCAGACACAGTGCAGGCTGAGAGCTGCAAGAGCTGCAAGAAGAACCTTCGCCGGAGAATCTCCCTTCTTCCTTCAGCTGTGCTTTTCACTGAGACCTCAGCCATCAGTTCTGGGCAGTCCAGCTGGAACTGGAGCAAGCATTTGAGCTAAAAACAGCGCTCAATCTCTGGACCAGAAACTGCTCAGACCATTAACTGTTTTCTTTACGTCACTGCTTCTTGAAAATGTTTGCTTCTCCTGGAAATTTCCCTGTCACAGCTTTTACTGGTAATGCTCCTGTTTGACACGAGAACATCTGGGTGCCTGTGCCAAAGGCCTGCCTGCTGTTGCGGGTTCTGGAAAAACCACGTGCTCAGGCACAGGGGCAGTTTTTGAAGCAAGTAGGTGAGCAAGGATGGATGAACTGTTGGAAGGAGGAGCTGCTGCTGTGGGAGCTCTTGGCGCTCACGTCGCTACTGAGAACTGGAACCAGAGGAAAGCAGGAGCAGGGGGCAGTGTGCAAGTGTTCGACCCCTTTATGAGTAGATGCTCCCTTGTGAAGAGCTGCAGGGAATCACAGCAGGCTCTCAGAGGAAGAAACACTACTGTGCAGATAGTCTCCTACTGCAGTGTGGGTAGTGGGTAGCTGCTCTATCCTGTTGAGTGGATGCTTCCTTGTGAGGAGCTGCACAGAAAATTGGCAGGGTCTCAGAAGAAGAAACACTGCTGTGCAGGTAGTCTCCTACTCCTCCTTATTTCTGTGTGTTAACAAAGCTTGGCAATGCAGGGCTTGCACTACACTGTTGTGATAGCTTGGGGCAGCAGCACACACATGAAACAAGCAAGCTGCCTGCCTGGGCTGGGGACCAGGAGGTGTCAAGATCTCCCTACAGACCAAACTGAGAAGGTGCCTTGGACTCCACTGTTACAGAGTTGTTGGGCTCCAGGTGTTTCACAGCAGCTTAACCATACGGATAGTCACGGCAGTGTTACACTCTTGCACACGCAGCGAAGGTACCTTGTTGCTGTGTGTGGAAGGCTCTGTAACGTGCTGTCCTTCAGCTCCCCTGCTGCTTTCCCTGTGTTCACACCTTTTCTCCAGAGCTTCTGCTGCTGCTGACCCCATGAATGTGACCCACCGAGGGAATCCCCAGGGCTCTGCTGGTTGCACGTGGCACTGGGCCATTAACCATAGTGTTGAAAGCCGCCTGCAGTGCTGGGGCAGGGAGCGGCCGCTGCTCCTCACTCATGCTGAGAAAAAGCTCAAGGGCTGGTGGTTTGTCAGCATTTCCATGCCTGGCCCAGAGCAACAGAGAGAGCGTTGTGCCCAGGCCCTCCCCAGGCGGTTTTATGAACAAATCTTGTGGTTTTTTTTAACAGTTAAAAATTTTGCCTTACTGCACTGCTATCAGCGCTTTTGCCGGGGGGTGTTACTGTGGGTCCGGCTCGGCCACCCCATGCTGCAGCCCTGGGCCGCAGGTCGCGAAAGCAGGGCTGCTCCGGGCTGCCCCGTGCGGCATGGCAAAGAGCACAATAAACTGTGCAAGTTTTAGGAGTCGTTTGCCTGCTCTGTGTTGAACAAAGGGCGGAGGGAGGAGCGCAGTCTGTCACCTGGCGCTCAGGGTGTGACCTGTGCTTTGCGGGACTCCCAGGGCTGGTTTTACTTTTGTACAGGGAGGGGACAGTGCAGGCACATCGCCACCGGGAAAAGTAACTCCAGGCCAAGTAGCTCCGAGCCCAGGGGCTGGGCTTAGTCAGAAAGTGACTAGCAGGCTCTGAACAGCACCAAAGGGCAAACAGGAATGCAAAATATGGCTACTGGGAAATACGTGGAAGGCACTGGGAACACCAGAGCTGCAGAGAGGTCTGTCCAGCAGATGCTCACAGTCCAGCTTGGGAAGCAGTCACTGCCCAAAGAAGTGCCCCCCCCCCGCCGAGGCATCACCATGGGGTAACCAGGGGAGGTGTGGGGCTGCCAGCACCAACCTGGGCTGACTGGTGTGTTGTGGCTATGGAGAGGACAGGCAGAGGTAATTGCAGGTGTGTCTTCCACTCAGCACCCATTTTGCAGCTCCCTTCTTCCTTCCCCAAAATAGAAAATAAGTTGCTTGTCAGGAGGGAGGCAGTGCTGGCTGCAGTGACAGGAGGTGACAAGACTGCAGCTGAGAGCTGCAGGCAGCAGCTGAGCTTTGTGGCTGTGCCCAGGGGCCTGCTCCGGGGCTGGCTCCTGCTGGGTCTCCTTGGAGGCAGCTCCCAAATTGGCATGCAAAAGCAGCCCTGAGCAGGGATAATGGTGTACAGGAGGGCACGCGGTGGGTGAAACGCACTGAGCATCCTTGCTCCTAAACAGAAAGGCATGCAAATGCTTGGTGGATCTTCAGTATACATTTATGGCCTTTGGCAGAAAGGAAAATTGTGGCAGCTCAATTCTGAAAGAGCCATGAAAGATTTTACTCCCTTAAGGTCTTTTTTCTTAGAATTGAAGACAGGCTCCTCATGTGAATGATCCCTCACAGCTGGCACATCTCCATGACAAGATGGGATCCTGCAGCACTGAACTCAGTAGGTGCCCACGCCATGCATACTGGTGTTACGTGGAACCCAGGCAGGAGATGGGGCCAGAGACAAGGACAGAGACAGGATGGCCTTTATGGGAGCAGGCAGAGACCAGATGCCTGGTCCTGAGCTGTAATGATGCTCCTGGTACACGGTGCCAGGTGAGATGTTGGAGCCACCAGGCACCCCTGTCCTCCACAGCTCCCTGATGGGGCCCAGTGCCAAGCACTGGGATGCTCAGCTGGGACTCCTGTTGACAGAGCCTGATGGGGTCATTGGGTGCAGCCCTGGGCAGCCAGGACCCATGGATCTGCAGTGGGTAAGGAAGCAAACCCTGAAATCCCCCCATGGAGTGCTGTGGGACCAGGCTCTATGCAGCAAGGCAGAAAGAAGCCACTGTGCCATCTTGCTAACATGCAGGGTGCTGCTTTGCACCTTCATCCCTGTCTGATATTTGCATAAATGGAAAGTCCTCCCGCAGCACAGGCTCACCTGGTACCGGCTGTTTGGGAACATGGGTATTGGGTCCGTAGCAGCAGGAGGCCAGCGCAGTTTCACTGCAGTCCCTCACTGTTCTGCAGCAGCCCCAGGCCATGGCAAGGACACCACAGCCCAGTGTTTCCCTCTTCCTGCAGTCATCAAGCCCAGCTCTCATGGATCACCAGTTCTCCCAGCTGCCCATTCACAGAGCGCAGCCCAAGGCCGTGCATCCCACAGCAGGGCAGAGTGCCCTGTGCTGCCCTGCAGCTGCGCCATCCCCGCTGCGCTGTGTTGACACTTAACACAGCTATTGCAACAGGTGTGTTGCAAAGAGCAACACTGACCATGACCTGTTGGTTGATCCCAAAACAAGGAATCCTCATGCTGTTGGTGTGAATTGAGCCCACACGGTGGGCAGGGTGAAGAGGCAGTGACAGGCACCAGGCTGGTGGCAGCGGGCACCTGCCCACTCATCCCAGCTCCACGAGGCTCCACACCCAGCCCTGCGTCATACTGACATGCTGGTGGAGGCACCGGGGGCTGGGGAGGGACCAGAGCAGGTGAACATTAACCTGGGGCAGTGCCAGGTGTCCCCAGCAGCGCAGCACCCCAGGAGCACACAGGATGAGGGGACTGCGTGCCCACTATCACCTCCTGGTAGGTCTGACCCCAAGGGTGCTCGCGTGGGGCTGGAACACGTGGTTGGGCACTGCAGGGCCACCCCTATCTTCCCTTTGTCCCCTGCTCCCCAGGGGTATTTTCTGCCTGCTGCCACTTCGGGGAGCCTGGAGCAGCTGCTTGCTTCTGCCCTGCAGCCCTCCTACATTCAAGCGGGTGTGCGGGCTGTGCACACAGCTGCAGATGGCCGAGGCTCGTCAGCAGCTGCAGCCTGGCCAGAGGTGTATCTGTGTCCTGGTGCACAGGGCCAGGGAAAGATGCAGCTGAGATTGACTGCAGTGAACCCTTCCACTGGGACTGAGCTTGGAGGCTGTGGAAGCCTCTGCTGCCTCCTCTTCCTCTTCCTCCTCCTCCTTTCCCCATCTCCTCCCTGGGCAGCCCGCACCCTTGAACTTCTGTGCCATGTTAGAACTGCCAGGCAGGATGCCAGAGCACGCCATGGAATGGCGGTGTGTGTTGGGAGCGGGGCAGGAGGCTCAGCCAGTCGCTCATCCCTGGGGTCTGCATGACCTTCGAGCCTCTTCACCCGGCCCCTGCCCTCTGCACGGGATGGGAGAACCCCATGTGGTGCAGGTTTGGGGGTGCTGCCTCGTGGGGTTCCAGGGGAGTAATCACTTCCATCCACCCCCAGCCTGACCAGGACGAGGAGCAGCCCACAGAGTGCACGGAGCCAGACAGTGAGGAGCAGCCAGGCTGGGAGGGGGCTCCGGTGACACCTCCAGCCCCAGAGGAGCCGTGCAGGCTGGTGCTGAGCACGCCAAGCAGCATCCTGCAGGAAAGGGAGATTGAGGAGGTGAGGGATCCTTGCATGCTGGGAACCGGTCCGGTGAAAGGCTGGTGGGTGACATCACCTCTATCCCCAGAGAGCAGAGGCAGCCAGCAGGGCTGGCACTGCCAGAGAAGGGGTGTCAAGCATTTGGAGCCCCACGTGTGTTCCAGCACAGTGCATCCATTACCATCCCCCTGCGTGGTTTCCTGCAGAGGGCAAAAGGGGGTCACACATGGATGGTTCATGAACTGCAGCTCCCCAAGAAGCCACAGAGGGGTGCCTTTGGGTGACAGCCCTGGAGGTGTGAGGCCCCACACCCCACCAGTGTGTCGTGGTGTAGCTCATCCTGAGCCAGCTGCCTGATCCGCTCTGCCCTGAGTTTGTTCTCTGGCCTTCTGCAGGGGGGCTCAGGGTGGGGATTTTTGCAGAGACCTTGGGAGGATGCCGAGGCTGGGAGGAGGGTCAGAAGGACCTCTTGGGAACAAATGCTCAGGGTGTTGTCTGGGGAACTTGGCTGGTGTTGGGAGAATGCTCGGGGACACCTTTTGGGCACATGCTATGGGTGAAGATGCTACAGGGTAAGACTGCTATGTGGGGAGAGGATGCTGGGGGTGAGAGTGGTGGGGTTCATTCCAGCTGGGTAGGAGGTGGCTGGGAGCACTTGCAGCCTTGCCCTCGTGCTGCAGGTGGGCAGGGAGGGTTGGGGAAGCAGAGCTGGGGGACAAGCAGGGGCTGCTGCCCAGGCCAGGACTCTCTGCAAACAGCAGCGTGTGGCTGGGAGCTGCCTGCCAGCCCCTCTGAGCCTGCTCTGCCCCAGCTGGGCCCCCACCTGCCCACCCGGCTGCAGCAGCAGCCCTGGAGCCTGCTGTACTGCACTGCGCGGGATGGCTTCAGCCTGAGGACCCTGTACCGGTGCACCGGCCAGCTGAGCTCCCCAGCACTGCTGCTCATCCGTGACACCGAGGCTCAGGTACGGCTGGGAGCTGTCACCCGGTGGCACCAAAAGTGGCTTCACCTGCAGCTGATGCTGTCCTTGTTGTTCACCGGATGGGAATGTGCCACGTAATCCCAGTACAGTTTGTGACCCCACAGCACCGGCATCTCTCTCCTCTCCCTTTGCCAGGCCTTTGGTGCCTTCTCCACCAGCCCCATTCATGTGAGCAGTGGCTTTTATGGCACAGGGGAGACATTCCTCTTCTCCTTCTCCCCAGAGCTAAAGGTAGGGGCTGTGGGACCAGAGGAAAGGGGGATCCTGGGGACCAGCAATGCTCCACAGCCTGCCCTGCTGGAAGGACTCGGAAGTTTGGAAGGGTCTGGGGAACAGTCCAGGGTAATGCAGCTGCACTTGTCTGTCCACAAGCAAAGCTGCTAGGCCAACTTGCCCCAGGTCCCAACCAATATGAAGATCCACCCGTGGGACTGGTGGCATCAGCAGATGGCAGCTGTTCCCTGGAGGAGGGAGGACAGCCGTGAAATGGCCCCCACACCTTGGGCAGGCCTCTCTGTGGACTCTGAGGCTTCAAGCCATGACCGACGGGCACAGAGCCCTTCGTGTGGGCAGGACAGGGGCAGGACGGGGACAACCCCACATGGCTGCTGTCCCCACAGGTGTTCAGGTGGACGGGAAGGAACAGCTTCTTCCTGAAGGGAGACACGAACCTGCTGATGGTCGGCGGGGGCAGGTAGGGGCAGCCTCAGAGCTCATGTGGCCGAACGGGCTCAGCAGGAGGGGCCCGACTGAGCGCGGCCTCTGCATGTCCCAGCGGCAAGTTTGGGCTGTGGGTGGACGGGGATCTGCACCACGGAGGGAGCTGCCCCTGCGAGACCTTCAACAACGAGAGCCTCTCAGCGCGGGGGGAGTTCTGCATCCAGGACCTGGAGGTGTGGGGCCTGGCCTGACGGGCAGCGGTGCCACAGGACGCGCCTGAAACTACGGATCTCGGAGCCGACAGAGCTGTGCCCCGTCCTGCAGGCACCGGGAAGGGCGGTGCGGACGGAACCCTGCGGGATGCCGGCCCTGCAGCGGGGTGCTGTGGTGCACGCGGTGCCCTGCAGGGCCAGCCCTGCCTGCAGCACCTTTGGACACAGCCTGGCAGAGACGGGCACGGCCCCCAGAAGGGCACGAGTCAGGAGCCGTGTGTGTGCTGGGGGAGAAGTGAGCACCTGGGACGGCCCTGTCCCACCAGCTGCTGCCCTCAGGACAGTGGGAGCGGGGCTGGTGTGTGAAAGGCTGCTGGCCACCAATAAATGGGAAGAGCTGCGCTCTGAGCCTCGTCCTTATTGCCAAAATAACAGTGCCATGAAGCTGTACACAGAAAGCAGCAGCTTCAGGTAAAACCTGTGTTGGAAATATCCAAATATCAGGACGGTATCTCTGATAAAGCAGATTTTATTGCAATTGCGATGGCGGGCCTCCTGCAAGCAGGAGAGCACCCAGAAAACAGCGTTCCATTTTTATTTCCTATTGCCCGACGCTGATCTCTTTCTCCCCTCGTTCCTCATTGGCTGAGTACTTTAGGTTCACAATCTTCTCGATGCTTCACTGAACATGCAAATACTGGACAAACATAAATCTTCGCTGTCTGAGCGTAAATCTCTAATTAATTCATTAACTTCTAACCCTTTCTCCACACTAGGTCCTTGTTTCTGGGTATCTGCTCGTCCTCCCTTGCATAGAGATAAGTTCGGAAGGAGGACATTGGGGAGGATCTTGGTGCCTGCCACGTCCCAACCTTCCCACGGGGTGACCCAGCCCGGCCTTGTGCAGAGGCCCTGTCCTCTTTGATGTTTGCTAAATCTGTTTTTCTTTTGCTGGGAGCTTCTTATCCTAGCAGAACAACCCTGCAGTATGTTTTCTAATCCCTAACACTATACCCACATTGTTTGGAACATATAACAACTATTGCAATTTTGCAAGAAAGAATTAACCACATAATTTGGTAATTATGTTTCTAAAACATGCTGCTAGCACAAACAGTATTTCTTCTTTTTAGATCAACTGTTTTTAAGGATGTTATGGAATACAAATGCGTTATGTTCTACTTCTTCCAACCAATTGCCCTTTTTAATATCTAACGCAGAAACAACATGCCATTCCCGCTCCTGTAATTCGATGGAGCTTGGTTCCACCCGTCACCCAGACTGCTTGACTTTACCCTGTGCTCATCGGCAACGAACCTCACCAGACTCTTTGGTCTCCCGCGGCCGAAGATACGAGTGAGGAGTTCTGAATCCCCGTGAAATAAAACAGCTCCCTGTTGCTCTGATGGGCTCACGTCCAAGTGGAGAATTTTAGCAAAGCTACCAGCCCAGAGGTGCTGGGGCTGGGTGGCAACAACTGCTTTTTCCCAAGTTCTGCAGGATGCTCTGTGGCTCCAGCTGTGCTCAGCCTGGTCCTGAAGAGATGTGTATCGCCTTCACACAGGCCTCACAAACGGACCCAAGAAGCCCGAGGCCCCTCCTTGCCCTGCCCCAATGTCCACCCATGGCTCGGCTCACAGTGCCCTCACGCTTCATGTTCTCCTGTGCAGGGAAAGCTCTGGACACCCACACTGGGAGGCCACCGCCGCCGTGACACGTGGCACCATGGGGACTTTGGGGCGTCTGCCACCAGAACCCCCAGCCAGTGCCATCAGGTTCTGCGTGCATGAAGCAGGGCTGGCCCTGGCTGGGCTCGGCCACAGAACGCCCTGCAGGGGGAGCGGCTCCGGCTGCTCTGTGTCCCCCCTCTTTGGCAGGGCTGACATCTCCCTGCCCACCTTTCCCCAGGTGCTCGGGGCAACGGCCGACTGCGACTGCTTTAAGTCTGCTGGCAGGGCGGCTGAGGGAAGCTGCGCAGCGTCACGGTATTCCAACAGAAAGTGCTGGGGAGGAGAGGGCTTCTGTGCATTTGTGAATCCAACAGCATGGAAAATGCCACCCGTTAGCTCCACCCGCACAGAACGACCAAAGTGCAGCCGCCCTTTGATCCCCGACTCACCCGCTCCAGGCTGAAGGTGACACAGATCCTGCAGGCAGCAAGGAACCGCAGCTGCGCACACGAACCAGTCCCAGAAAGGGCTGCTGGGAGGGATGGGAGTCCAAACAAAATAGGCCTTAATAATAGAGGAGCCGGGGATGGCCGTAAATGTTCTGACAGACCTTTTCAAAGGGCACATTCGCCTTCAGCAGTTCAAAGCCTTGTGCTCCTGGTTCACAGCGTGCAGCAGTGGGCAGGGACACCACACGGCACCCGCAACTGGCTGCTGTCGGACCAGCAACCTTTTCCCTGCTCCTGCCCTTTCCTTACAGCAGGACCCTAGGCTGAGTTTCTAGTTCATCTTTCAAAAGGAAGTAGAGGCAACTGCTCTACCACCGATTTCAGGACGTTCCACAGTTTACTGACGGTGATACGATCCTCTGGAGCCTTCTCTTTGGCAGGAAGACCATCCCAGCACTCTCATAGAATCATAGAATCATAGAATCACCAAGGTTGGAAAAGACCTAAAAGATCATCCAGTCCAACCGTTCACCTATTCCCAATAGCTCCTACTAAACCATGTCCCTCAATACAACATCCAGCCTTTCCTTGAACACCCCCAGGGTCGGTGACTCCACCACCTCCCTGGGCAGTCCGTTCCAGTGCCTGACCACCCTTTCCGAAAAGTAATACTTCCTCATGTCCAGCCTGAATCTCCCCTGCCGTAGCTTGAAGCCATTCCCCCTGGTCCTATCACTAATGACACGAGAGAAGAGGCCGACCCCCAGCTCACTACAGCCTCCCTTCAGGAAGTTATAGAGAGCAATGAGGTCTCCCCTGAGCCTCCTCTTCTCCAGGCTGAACATTCCCAGCTCCTTCAGCCTCTCCTCATATGGCCTGTGTTCCAGACCCCTCACCAGCTTTGTCGCCCTCCTTTGAACACGTTCCAGGGCCTCAATATCTTTCTTGCAGTGAGGGGCCCAAAACTGGACACAGTACTCGAGGTGCGGCCTCACCAGTGCTGAATACAGGGGAACAATCACCTCTCTGCTCCTGCTTGCAACACTGTTTCTGATGCAAGCCAGGATGCCATTGGCCTTCTTGGCCACCTGGGCACACTGTCGGCTCATGTTCAGCCGAGTATCAATCAATACCCCCAGGTCCATTTCCTCTACGCAGTCCTCCAGCCACACCGCCCCAAGCCTGTAGCGTCGCCTGGGGTTGTTGTGGCCGAAGTGCAGGACCCGGCATTTGGCCTTGTTGAAACTCATCCTATTGGCTTCAGCCCAACTCTCCAGCCTGTCCAGATCCCTCTGTAGGGCCTCGCTACCCCCAGGCAGATCCACACTTCCAGCCAATTTGGTGTCATCTGCGAATTTACTGAGGGTGCACTCGATGCCCTCATCGAGGTCATCAATAAAGATATTGAAGAGGACAGGCCCCAGCACCGACCCCTGGGGAACACCACTCACAACCGGTCGCCAGCTGGATTTGACTCCATTTACCACCACTCTCTGTGCCCGGCCCTCCAACCAGCTCCTTACCCAGCCAAGAGTGTATCCATCCAAGCCTCTGGCTGCCAGCTTCTGCAGGAGAATGCTGTGGGAGACAGTGTCAAAGGCTTTGCTGAAGTCTAGGTAGACCACATCAACAGCCTTTCCCTCATCCACCAGATGGGTCACTAGATCATAGAAGGAGATCAGGTTGGTCAAACAGGACCTGCCCTTCATGAACCCATGCTGGCTAGGCCTGATCCCCCTCTCCTCATGGAAAGATGCTCCCACCCTCCCCAGCAGCTTGGCGGCTCTTTCCTGAGTCCAATTCTGTATTACTGAAGAGCCCACACCTGGACACTGGCCTCACCAGGGCCTTTTCTGCAGTGGCTTTCCAGATGGGTGCTCCCTGCATGCCCTGGTACCTCCTGCTGTTCTTATCTGGAGGCAGGACTGTGCACTTCCCCTTGTTAAAATCCATGAGCTGCCCAACATCCACTTCCCCAGCCTGCCCAGGTCCCTCTGGATGGCTGCATGGCCTTCAGCTGCACCAGCTGCTTTGGGATCCTCAGCACTTGCTGAGGGCTCAGCTCCATCTCGCAGATCATTAGCGAGGCAGCGATACAGGCCTGGACCTACCGCTGACTCCTAGCATGAACCACAGGATGGCTGTGATTGTTCCAGCTTCAAGCAGATCAGCAGGGGAACAAAGGGGCCATAGGCATCTCAGCTTCGTATGATCTGCAGATGAAGCTGCTTCATGAACATGAAGCTCATGAGCCCAGAACAACTCTAATCTGAACTTCTTTAACGAGCTCATCTGCATCAGTGAGCACCACCGGGTCCAGCCACCAGTTGGTTTGCCTAATACCTGCACCAGGGTCACACTTCACACCTCTCCCCTCAGGGCTGGGCATTGCTCCACCAGCTCTGCGCTCTCCCTGGGCTGCCCACCTGCCTTCTGCAGCCCTGCTTTGCAATGCCCTGCAGCAGCAGCCTCTGCTCTGAGCACACGATGCATCCCCAGCAGCCCCACACTGCCCTGCTTGAAGGGGGAAGGGGAAGGAGAGGTCTGAGTTCTGGAACCCAGCAGCACGGAGTTCCACCCATCAGCCCCACCTGCACACAACGACCAAATTCAAAAGGACTTTAATCCTCCTAACTCCCCCAGATCATTCCTAGGCACCTTCAGAAGTTCATTGGACTGCTTAGCCCTGCACAGTGAGACTGCTGTTTTTAACAAAGTTCACACACTGCAATTCACTGCAAGAATATTAAAATCGTTGTTTATTAATTTATTTTTCAGCACAGAAAGGCTCAGATTATGTCTGAGAAAAAGAAAAGAGTCCCAACTCTACCAGATGTTAAGTTCTAAGTACAAAGTTTTTGCTTAGTTTTGAGCAGAAAGCTTTTCCCAAATATAAAGTGCACCTTTTATAACAGCATCAAAACAAACCCAAGGAACAGTGATAGAATTACATTATTCTGGAACAGTACTTGATTTCACTTAGATAACAGGGATAAATGCCTTCACTCTGTAACATTATTCCTTGAACCATAGAACAAGTACTCCAAAAGCTTCTACAAAGGTCCCCCCACCTTCCAGCAGTAACCTGGAACACTGCAGCTGTGAAATGCTATGAACAGGAACAGCAGAGGCGGTGCTGCATCGCCATTAAACACAGGCTCACAAGCAGCTGAGCGCAGAACAACAACTGGCTGCTTCAGACCACATCTGCAAAGCAGGCCAATACCTCTTCTCACGTCACAGCCATCAGCCTCCAGCCCAAGGAAGCAACCAGACGGGAGAAGAGTGACACCATCTTCTCACACAGCAACCTCTTGAGTTAGCTTCAAAAGCTTGGCTGTCAAGACTGAATGCTGAGCTTCTATATTCTCTCTTCAGACACAGAAATCCAAAGCTCTTTTCCAGTTTCTGAGCATTAAAGAACACTTTACTTCGCAGTTTTGAGGGTGAGAACGCTTTACTTAGTAGTTTTGAAGATGGGTTTTTATTAATTAACTTCATTTAAAGAAAGCAGCCTTCAAAGAGAACACCTCAGACCTGAGTATAACAGGGAAGAAGTCTTCCTCGTTTGCTTTTTGATGGGACGGACACCT